CTGTGGAGGTGAGGATACAGCCAGAACCCTGGCTCAGAGACCTTTGTGTGATTTCAGTGATGTAGGGAGGAGTGGCACCTAAGTGAAGCCACATGTGATTGGCCACACACTGGTCTCATCAGGCTCCTGGACTGGACCCCCAGTTCAGCTCCTTTCTGTATTGTCACACCCATTCCCCACTAGATAGCACTCAGTGGGTGTGCTAGCTTCCTTGTGGCTAGGACAGAACAAGAACATCTAACATTAACAAGACGGGACTTACTTAGATTTCAGAAGGCACAGTCCATGGTCATTTCTGGGACTGCGGTAAGGCATACGTCATGATGGTGGGGGCACGTGGTGGAGAAGGCTGAGTGAGGAAATGAGGAAAAGCGAGGAAGGGTCTGGGGGGCCAGGCATAAAAGCATGCTCCTAGTGTTTTTTCCAGTTATGTCCTATCTCCTAAAATTTCCACAATCTCTCCAAAGAGTGCCACTAGCTGGTGACCAAACATGCACTAAATGACCCTGTAGAGGACATTTGATATTCACACCATAACAGTTGGTCTGTGACAGTCACTTCACCAAGTCAAGTCTGGCTCATGGGAAAACTATCAGCTCTGCCACTCAGTGTGGTGGAATGTCTGTGGAATCCTGGATATGGGGTATATAGAGGGGTTTGATTTCTAAATCTGTCCAAATTTGGATACTGTCTCCTTTCAAGACAAGTCTTGGCTTTGGTATTCTGAAAATGCATATTTGTTTCCAAATGCTTTGAATGCCTTCATTCTCTCTCCATCCCCCCCTCCCCCACTGCCACTCCTCTCCTCTCCTTTTTACCCTTTGTTTGAACAGGTTATTTCAATAGCTTGGTTTGGCGGTCAGATATTCTCTCTTCCTGTTGATCCAGTTTGTTGATGAGGTTTTGTGACTCTCTCTTTCTCTGTGTTAACCTGACTTAGCCCTCCTCACCCCTGGTTCTGAAGCCAGGGTGATACCATGTCCTATCTCTCCCAATCTTTTAGGATTGGAGTCTCCTGCTCCTGTCCGGTGTTCAGTCACCTCTTCTGCTTCTAATACCTGTCACTTTGATTTTTCTGTGGAGAGAAAAGTCTTGCCTTCTGAAGATTATTTTAAAAACATTTCATTTTTCAAGCAGAAACAAACATGCAAATGTCTCTAAAAAAATGATTAGAAAATTTGCATCTTATGGTCAGTTACTGAGAAGTTCCCCATTGAGAAGGTGCTTTATTTTAGGAGTAAACTTGTAGTAACCCTTTGCTGGGCTCACAATGCTTGAACGATAAATTGTCGTACTAGTATTTGCCAGAAGCACAGTTAAGATCCAAGTGTGATGGTTCACTTATAGTTCCAGAACTTGAGAGGATGTAACAGACCTGAGCTACTGTGAGACCCATTTCCATCAAGACAAAACAACCTAAAGAGGGTTGGTGATTGTGGTGACTTGAAAGAAAATGGCTCCCATTAGAAGTGGTTTTGTTGGAGACGATATGGCCTTATTGGAGGAAGTGTCTCATTGTGTGTGTAGGGTGGGTTTTGGGGTCTCCTGGGATCGAGCTACAGCCAGTGTGACTCATAGTTGCTTCTGCTGCCTGGAGATCAATATGTAGATCTTTGAGCTGCTCCTCCAGCACCACATCTGCCTGCACACTGCCTTGAAGATAATGGATTAAACATCTGAAACTGAAATCCATCCCCAATTAAATGTTTTCCTTTGGAAGAGTTCCTGAGGTCATGGTGTCTCTTCACAGCAATAGAAATCTTCAGACAAAAGTTGGTACTAGGGGCTTGGGTATTACTGTGATATGCTGGGCTATGGTTTTATTTGGAGGAATATGGACTTTGAGACTATGGATTAGAAAAGCAGTTGAATGCTTTCAGTGTGGCTTAATGGGCCATCCTCGTATGAATATGGAAGACAGCGATGTTGAAGGTGATTTGAACTGGGGGGGGCGGGGACTGACTCAAGAGACTTCAGAGAAGACTGTTAGTATGTGACCTAGAGAGTATTCTTGTGATATTCTGGTGAAGAATGTGGCTACTTTTTGCCCTTGTCTGAAAAGTTTGACTGAGGCTAAAGTGTGAAGAGTTTTAGATTTATTTCATTGGCCAAGGAAATCTCAAGGCAACCTAGTATTGACTTTGTCATGTGGTTATTAATGTTAACTCTAATGAAGATTTATAATGAAAAGGAGGAAGCTGAGCAAGGAAAATTACAAAATTCACAATTTGAGGAGAAAAGGGGCACCAGGAAGTAGAATGGAGCAAAGCCCTGTGCTCAAGGAAATAAGTAGATTAAGAAATGACCTAAATGGATTGGTAACCTATGGGCAAGACCCGACCCAGCTAAACTTTCAATTTGTGAAAAGGAATTAAAGAAAATCTCAGAGCTTTTAATCCCACACCTTTAATCCCAGCACTTGGGAGGAAGAAGCTGGTGGATCTCAGAGTTTAAGGTCAGCCTGCACTATAGAACAAGTTTTAGGACAGCCAAGCTTAGGTAGCGAAAGTAACCATGTAAAACAGAAAGCTAGTGATGATGAACCTGAACAAAGGAATCATGTTTCAGCTCCAGTAAGCAGTAGAATTTGGCAGCTTCAGTCACATGGTACTGGCCTAGTGTCAAGAATAGAAGAAAGGCATTATGGAATCTTCCTCTGAGACTAAAGAAAGCCGATGAGGCCAGGCATGAAGCAGGGGTGTCCCTGAATGGAGGCTTAGAGGGGCCATTGTGTGAAACTGTGAAGGTAAATCCTGGATTGCCTTGGAGACTCCAAGACGCTGGAGAGGCCAGAGCCGTGGGATACCTGCCAAGGAGAGTTGCTAACAGGGAGTGGAACCAACCCAAGAGAAAGAAGTGTATTGCAGTCAACAAAGCTGAAAGGAGTTGGAGATCTGAAGAGTGCTTCAACATCTGATGTGGAGAGGCAGAGTTTGGAGTTTGCTCAGCTGGTTTTCAGTCTTGTTTTGGTCCAGTACTTTCTCACTATATTCCCTTCCCTACGCTTTGGAACAGTAATGTATATCCTAGGCCATTGTATGTTGGAAGGATGTGATCTGCTTTTTGATTTTTCAGGGGATTACAGTTAAGAGATTACATGAATCTCAGAAAAGACTTTGAACTTTAGACTTTTAAATAAGTTTGAGATTGTTATAGACTATGGGGACCGTTAGGAATATTCTTAAGACGAGCCTCTCTGCCGAAGCAAATAATTCCAATCAGACCAAATTAGACCGAATAAAAGATGCCCACATTTACTGCAGCGCTTCCGGGTGGCTGGGAGCATGGCAACAGAGAGATAGAGGGGGGGACCACACATGTTCCTTTTCTGGGTGTCAACCTAAATAGCCTCTGGGAGTGGTTCACCACTTGGGGGGCTTTTCCCGGAGGTGGAGTCCAGACCAAGGCAACTTCCAGGGGGAGGGGGCTTCCAAAGATGGATGCCAGGTATTACAGGGACCTTTGAAGTTGGACTGAATATATTTTTGCATTATTTTACATTACATTTTGCTACAAGCTTTTGGGGGCCAGGGAGTGGAATGTGGTGGTTTGAAAGAAAATGACTCCTGTTGGGAATGGCTTTGTTGGAGGAGGTAGGGCCTTTGTTAAAGGAAATGTGTCACTGTGGGGAAGGATTTTGGGGTCTCCTACGCTCAGGCTACACCCATTGAGACTCACAGTAGCTTCTGCTGTGTGTGGATCAAGAGCTCTCAGCTTCCCCAGCACTGCACGCTGCCATGAAGATAATGGACTAAGCCTCTGAAACTGTAAATTCAATTAAATGTCTCCCTTTGTAAGAGTTACTATAGTCACTGCGTCTCTTGACAGCAAAAGAAACCATAAGCAGGAGAGTGGAAAAGGCTGTCATCCCACCAGCGGTTCTGGCACACCTGGCTTGGGGAGCAGGTAAGTCTTCAGCACCCCCGAATTTACAGGCTCAGTTCTTCTCTAGCAGCTTCCGTTACTGAAACCCCATTCCTAATCTTTTAAGAAAGTCCAGGTAACCACTGGCCATAGAAAGTGACTTTAGATATACAGATACTTCCTTATCTAGGTGATACTTAACCAGTTATTGGCAAATCTCAGAAACATTAGTAAGACAATTAAGCCTAGTTAGGCCACAGAATTGTTTGTAAAACTGAATTTATTAAACTGCTCATAATTAAAAAATATTAAATGCATAGAAATTAACAAACATCAGTTACAAACATCACACCGATGCTACATTGTATGAGAAGCATCATGAATTTCAGTTCCTTTTTAGCTAAGCTGGGCACCGCTTCCACTTTTTCCAAACACAATGGGAACGCAAGGAGCGCACAAGAAGTGTGTAACCAACACGTCACTGTCTGCCCCCAAGGCGGGAGAATGTCCTACGGAACTCACGACTCATGGGCTCTACAAAGGGAGAACCAGACAGACGTCTTACCAGATGGTCTTGTTTGGTTTCAAGACAAATTACAGCCTTCTATTTCTAATGGAATATCTAAAAGATCTGAGGAACGTTTAAAGAAAAATCCCCTGAGTATCGGGTCTACTGCTTCAGTTGATTATAAAATTCGAAGGCAATAGAGAAGGATAGAACTTTTCTAGTGGTTAACGCCAGACAGGTGGAGGGCCAGATCCTTGCCCCACTGGCTACTGTCATGGTTTTCCTGGGTTCAGGGGCTACCTCACTGCTACTGGCAAATGTAGATTGCCACTGCAGGTGCCCCCCATTCCTCCCCAAAACCATCTTGGCACAGGCCTCACAGGAATGATACTGATGCCATGGAACCCTGCAGCTCACCATAACTCAGCCTTTCAGCAACACACTGTGTCAGACAATATGCTTGCTCCCTTTGGAAATGCAGCAGGGTTTTCTTTTTTTTCTCTTCTTTCTTTCTTTCTTTCTTTCTTTCTTTCTTTCTTTCTTTCTTTCTTTCTTT